GGTCTGTGTCTCGGCCCCGGCCCGGCGTAGGCCCGGTGTAGGCCCCGGCGCCATGGATCCGTTCCTGACTCTGCTGCACTCTTTCTCCTCGAGCTTTTCGGACCGTGAGCTTTCTTCCTTGAAGTTTCTCTGCGGGGGGAAGATTGGGAAAAGGAAACTTGAGGCTGTGCAAAGTGGCGGGGGGGGGCTCCTTTTTTAGCAGCAGCTGATTGCAAGCGACAAGGTAGAGTTTCTTGAAGGCTTGCTTAAGAACATTAAAAGAGAAGATTTGATCTCGCAGCTAAAGCAGTTCGTAGAGGAAAGAGAAGTGAATGCTCCTGATGATCAACCAGAGGTGCATGAAAGACGTAGGTTGCTTATTTTTTTTAACACCCCGCCCTCCCCTCCCTAAGCAGCCCCAGTACATCTGTACCCCACCTGTGGGTGTGCTCAGAGCAAACACGGAGCAGGGCTGCTCTCGGGTGCCTGCCTTAGCTGAGCCCACTACTAATGGTGCTTCTGCTGCTGATTGCTGCATGGGACTGTGTTGTACATACCACGAGGCAGCATACGCTGCAAACAGCTTTCCAGAGCGGAAATTTCTTCCCTTTTTTTATGGAATGATCACTTGGAAATTGTGCTGTGTACTTGAGATTCTAAGTGTATCCAGCAGCTTTTCAGAATGCGCTGTGACTTTCAGTATGTATGAAGCAGCAAGAGGGATGGTGTTTTACCAACAACAACAAAAAATAACCCAAACAAACTTTTTTAAAAATGTGTGTTTCTTAAGTAAACCCATCACTAACTTGATCTATTTCTGCTGTTTCAGGTCTTCTGGAGGCAGCTATTGAAGTCATATGTGAAAATGTTGGGAGAGACTGGAAAATGCTGATACGAAAACTTGGCATTTCTGAACCAAAACTGGACAGAATAGTGGCAGCCAATCCATTTAATTTGCAGGAACAGTTGTTTAAGTCACTTAGGGAGTGGCTGAAATGGAAGGGAAAAGATGCAAAGGTGACTGACTTAATAAAAGCTCTTCGGGGCTGTAATATGAATTTGGTGGCAGACAAAGTTGAACTTGCTACTGAACAATTGAACCAGGTACAATCCATGTAAAACCCCTTCCACGTCCCACAGATATGAATGAACAAAGTGCCTTCTACTTTTCTGAACCAAAAGCAATGTCAGATATATCTTCTCTGAAAGTACATCAGTGGGACACTTTTGAGGCAACTGTAATTTAAAATTTCACAGGGAGGTTGGATTTTTTTTTTTTTTTTTGTGGCCTGTTATAACTGTAGTGTGCAAGAGGGAAGGAGTAGACCTCTCAGCTGTGTCCTGGGTTTTCTTTTTGGGTAGCATAAGATAATCTCTTCCTCAGGCCCGAAGACTGAAGTGCAAGAGGGCTGGTAACTATTATGGTGGCAGAAAACGTGCCTGGTTGAAATCAAATGTCTGTATCAAGTGCCTTTATAATCCTGAAGGAAATGTTCTGCAACTATCAAAGAAATTGTGTCTCCCAGAGATGTTCACAGGAGCCTCTTTTTACTGCCGTGAATGTTTTAAAGTTTTTTACTAGGAATCCTTTTATAACCTATATCACAGACCTGGTTGTGTCTGCTGCAGTTATCTCTGCTCTTGGTAACAAAAGTGTGTACTGTAACAAAACCTAGAAAACAAATTGATTTCTTTTTAGTGGAGGGGTGTGAAAGCCTACCGAAAGCAGATATATAGAACTGACTTTCCTCTAGTGATGAAGATCATCTGTCTTCCACAACAGTTTCTCTTCAAAGGTTGCTCCAGATCCAATAGCTGTTCCAAGTCCTCTGTAATTTTCATTCTTCATATATTTCATTCATATTCAATACTTCATTCCTGTTCCTTTACATTTTTTGAAAGTGGTTGTAAGCAACTCACAGAGGAAAGAGGATTTGTGAATGAGACTAGATTCAGTTTTCAGAACAGACTTCGAAAAATGGCGTTCACACCTAACCTAAGACTGGAAAAATTGCACAAGCTTCAAGACATGCGGAGTTGTAGGAGCCTCTCGAGACCATCCCCTATGCAAGGGGAAGAAATTCTTCAAAATCATTGTTACTTGAATGAGTAGGATTGTTTGTTACTGCAAACATCCTGCTAACTACATAAATAGATACTTGAAGAGGAGAGGCTGTTTTTTTCCTACTGTACCTGCGTGACTGTTAGCTCCTTTCGAGTTTATTCCATGGTGCCATTACTACGAGGGCTGGGTGTCAGCATATAATACACCACTACTCTGCATAAATGCTGTGACACTGATAATTTTCAAGTTTTTGTTGCAGTTGGTGCTCCTAGTTTTGATGATGACACATGAATACCTGACTGTAGTTAATGGAAACTGCTGTGATGTGAACTTGGGTTTTTATTAAGGTTTTTCCTTAAATGATTCTCGCAAATATTTTTCTAATCATTGCATACTAGATATCAATGACTGTATTCAGGGAAAGGAGCAATGGGTAATGCAGGAGTTTCCACTCTCCATCCTTTTGGGCAGGTACAGCTCTCTGAGTGCTTGCTCCAATACTTGTCAGTATCGATTGTCAATTCCAGACTTGCAGCAGGAGACACAGTGCTGCACTTCAGCTCAGTCACTAGCTCAAATGTTTTGGAGGGTTTTGTTTACTAGATACAGTCTTAATTCTACAGTATTTAAAGAAAATGATTGCTTCAGACTTTTTTCCTTCATGCCTCTAAGCAATCTTGTGAGCAGAGAAGTGAAGTTAGCGAGATGAGTTATCTGTGTGGTGAAACAGCTCAGGAACAGTTCCAAGTCCAGTCTGTCCAGTAACATGTTTTTCTTATCCACTTGTAGTAAGTGTTCTGGTTCACGGAAGATACATTTATCTAGAATATGAAAAGAAGTATCCTGCCTGCTGCATATAACCAGGATATTTTAAGAATCAGTAGGAATAACTTGTTAGTTGTAGCCAAGTGCTCGTCAGCTACAAGAAATATTCTGCCTCAGAAGAAAAAAAATCTCTAGTTTCTTTAAGGATTTGTACATACGGGATGTTTTACTGCAGATGAAAGCAATGACCTAGACTGCCTCGGTCTGTGCAGTACCTCAGGGCCAATTAAAAACTGTTTTTATTAGAGATTAAAATGTTGATTGTGTGAGAACAAAATAAAATGGAACAAAGGGAACAAAAACATTTTATTGGGAGGAGGGCTAAGGGAAAGGGTGCAATCTGTATGGAAGTGTTTTGTGATCCAGTTACCAGTCTTCTGTTTTCAAATGAAGTAATTTGGACTCAAATGCACATGTTTTTATAACTTGAATTAAATTTTTGTATTGTATAATTTTGTGCACATTTCATTAAAAAATACTTCCTTAAAAAGAAAAGAAATGGAGCTGGTTTTTTATATCACAGGATTGCTGTCTATAATGAGATCTCTAATTGGGAGAAGGTAAATGTTAAGGACACTTTTAAAGCAAGGAGCGATGCTAAACAGGCGTAAGTTACCAGTGTCCTTGGAACGTTAGAAAAAAAAAGAAAATTGAATGCTGTCACTCAGGGAAGTGTAAATAAAAAAAAAAAAAATTCTCTGCCAGCCCTCAGGAGCCAATAATTGAGCCACAGTGCAGCGTCTGCATGGGAGAGAGGCCTGCGAGTAAGTGCCTTCTAATTGTTTCCTCTGCTAGTCATGCTGCGGTAATGATGTTGTATCTGTTTTACAATTAATTAAAACCACAGCTTATAGCTTCTTGTAAAGCTGTGCAGGCTTTTAGAGGATCTGTTCAGGAGTTAAACTGACAGAGGTTCTGTGTGCGGTTCAGGCTCTGAACACGTAAGACAAGTAACTTCATTTCCCATTTAATCACATTCTCTGTGATACTCTGCAGGAGTATCTGCCTGTGAGGAACCCTTTTCCTTTTAGTCTCTTGAGAGTCTTACTTCCTTACAGCCTTGAGAAAACACCACACCAAAACATGTTGAGAGTAAAAAGTGTCATCCCAGGAGAATGCTCATCTTGGAGGATTGTTTTTCCATGTCGCTTCACAGTCCCATTCAGTACTTGCTTTGCCACTTCCTATGTTTTTTGAATATATCTATTATATACTGCAAATTAATTTTTTTAAAATTGCATTATTTTCATTACTGAGCTAAAAGAAGTTTTCTAGACTTTTAATTAAAAATTCCTCTTACACAAGGTGGTTGTCATGAATATTTCAAATGCAATGCTTTGTTTTCCCCTTTCTCCATTCCCCACACGCAGGCAGCTGCATTTCCTCCAGCCTTTGTTTCAGTCCTAAAATAACTGGCTATTTTCTGAAATCTAATTGCTTCATTTAATTGTCTAACGCTAAAAGCTCAGTAATACATGGTGTATCTCCAGGCTCTCTCTGGCTCTCAGCATGTTCTTAATTGAGGCTTTTTGGTCGAGTACTTTTCAATCTAAATTTATTTCTAATTACTGTCTTTGTTTCTTTCATTATTATCAAAAAGTGGTTTGTGATATTCTTCCTGTTCCCTGCATGGATCCGCTGTCCTTAAAATGTGTTCCAGCATGGAAAATATTTTTATTTATTTTTATGTATTACTTTTCTCTGCCAGTGTTTTTATTGCAAGGATGCCCGGGTAGAATAATTTCCATAAAAATAGGAATTGTGGGGGTGAGATGAGGGGTAGAGCAAGGAGTTTTGAGTAAAGGTTCAAGAACTTTTGAAGAATCTTTGTCTTCATAAGAAGTTTTGTAGCTGAGGATTACTTCAGAGGGTTTGTTGCAGTGGGTTGTGGGAATCACAGGTCTGGAGCAAAGGAAGCAGGGCTCTGCTGGGCGAGCCCAGATGAATGCAAGCTTCTGCATGGAATCGGTGTACAGACACTTGATGAGTACATGGGCTTCGGTTCCATCCACAGGACTGGTTTTGCTCCTGCTTCCTTCTTGAGAGTATTGCACATTCCTCTCTTAGACTAAAAATCAAACAACACATGTTCTTGTAAATTTTATGTAATATATGTTATTAAAGTACGATCAGTTGGTTCAGTTTAAATTCACCAATTCTGTGATTTGATCAGTGTTGGAAGCTAAAATCATCATTTTCCATGTGTGCAGCTCTTGTGGGGATGGTAACGTAGCTTTCCTTAACGTCAGCTTTGTATGTCTAGTGATTTAAAAAGTTCTCAAACTGGCATTTTTCTTTACTTCACAGTCCTCAGGCCTTCAGACCAGGCTCTTGCGCTCTGTGAAGTTACACAGCGATAAAATTCAGCCATTGTCACCAGAGATGTCAAAACCATCCAGCTGGGATTTTCTGTCGTAGGCGTTCTATTTACAGGCGAGCCTGGTTTTATAGAATGTTCGCGTAAAGCAATAATCTTGCAATTTAAAATATTCACAATTTGTATAATGTTGTTTTTTATTTTCCACTTCTTAATTACGTTATTCCCATTGATCCCAGCAGGACTATTAACTTGAGAAAATAATTGGCAGAATTTAATCAGTGAGCACTTCTTACTGGGGTGTAACTTCTAAAAAGGTTTTAACAAGCAAGCGTATGCACTCCCTGGGGCAAAGATTTGTCCAGAGGGATGTATGAAGGCTGCATTTCTGTACAGAAGTAGGTAATTGATTTTTGTATGCAAACCTGGTACCAGATTTTATATACAGCGAGATTATAAACTGTGAGAAAGGTTTGGTATAAAAATGAAGCTACAAAACTTTTCTTGTCATTAGTGTCCTGAAGTTTTGAGTATTTACAAGCTTTTCACTTCAGGGTTCTGCTCAAAATTAGCTCATCTTTTTCCCATTCTTTTTCTCCATTTGTAATATTTATTTAAAAAAAACCACATTTTTTTAAGGAATGGGGTCCCACATCCATTAAATAAAAAAGAACTAAATAGCTGAACAATCAAGCTAAATGCTTATATATTTTTTCCCAACCAGTGCTCTCCCCGAGAGGTGCTTCTGTCACTTCTACGCATATTGCCAAATTTTGAAAAGAAAAAAAAAAAAGCAGAGAAAATGGGAATTCAAAGCGTGCAGCACCTGGCAGGTCTGGGCGCAGGGTTTCTGGGATTCAAATCCTATTTTTTTTTATGTTCTGCTCAATATGAGCAGAATTGAGTCACAGCTTCCCAGCTGTAAAATCCTTAATGTGGGAAACCCTGGATAGCCTGAATTGTCCCCAAAGCATCATTCCCATGGCACCCACTGTGCAGGGCAGCCCGTGGGGCGCAGGGCTGGAGCACGCTGCCTCCTGGCTGGCCCAGCAGCTGAGCAATGTTTGGAAGCTGTTACTAATTGTGGGATTTGCTGCAGTCTCCGGTCGGTGACTATGTCAGAAATTAAGAAATTTACTCTCAATGTTTTTCTAAACACCAGTTTAGCACATGGCGCTTCCATTTCTGTATCCAGCTCGAACAGTAAAATTCAAATTTGTGTGTCTGACTGCATGTTTGTGCATGCAGAAGATAATATATATGCAGATGAATTCAAACTAATTAGAGCCAAAACCAACAAAGTGTATGGTTCTAGCTGACGGCCGCTTGCAGCTCTGTTATACACCACCTAAATAAATTATTTGCTGTGGACCTGCTTGTACATTTTTCTGTAAAACGTATTCTACTTTCTACAAAAAAAAAAAAAAAGCAATTTGATGCTAAAGAACATCATGTCTCCATACGGTATGTGTGATTCTTTCAATTGAAATGTCGAATTCCACATCTGGTCTGTGAATTTGCAGGGATATGAAATGTTATGGTATAATTTAGATTACTGTCTTTATAAGGCCCTTCACTTCATACGGTATTTTTTCCTTTCATTTCCTGGACTCTCATTTTCCATCCTGCATTCAGTACACGAATAAAGCAGAAGGAAGGGGTCCAGGCCACTTCGGTGCTTAGCCACGATCCCAAACAGTCCTTGAGGTCCTCAGCGTACGGAACTGATGTTTGCTCCCTGCAGCCTCTGTGGGGAACTCAAAGCAGCTGGAGCATGACATAGTATACTCTGATCATTATTTTCTCCCTAGGAATGCCTCCTCCTTCCTCCTCATGTTCCTTAAAGTGGGAATGGATGCGGGAATCCTCATTGGAGTGGGAAATCCTGAGCCCTAGAAATCCCTTTTTCTCTAGTAATCATTTCTACCGGGTAAGCTATTGAGTAGTGCGAAAGGACCAGGTCATTTTGCAGCCTGAAAGCTCACGATGGATTTCACCTGTCTTTACTTCTGTGAATTCAGGTTTGCAGAAGTGTCTGGATCAGCACCCTCGAAGTAGA